GAATCAGGAATACATAGGAAATATTGATGGCTTACTAGAAAGCAGAAAAAAAGCACAAACGCAGAGATATAGCATGCTACGTTTTGCATCATAGAGAATTGAAACCTTCTTCATCTCATCTTAGGCCAAGAAGCTATTCTTATTATCGCAGTATAATGATTAAAACTGCCTCTTACTTTTTGTAGGTTTCTTTTGCTGCATCAAATCAGGATTGAACCAAAAAGGTGGCAGATCAAAGTGTTGATGGGATACTGAGCTGTCACTGGTTTCAGTGGTTTAGGAAGTTCCCTTTGAAGAAGATAGACTGGGAATTAAAGGTCACATGGTGTGAGTTATTTGTATTTCCTTTATGTGCTTGGCCATTATGGCCTCGTTATGATAGGATTTTCTTGGGGTTTACGAAGAAAAATTTCCGTTTGCTGCTGTAGAGGTGGAAAAATAAAGCAGCAACAGTCTGGCTCCAAGCTGATTGGAGGGAGCTAAGTTCTGTTTTCTTTGTTATGCTGTAATATGATAGCATGTCGTTTAAGAGGGACCAGGAATCTACAAGACTTGTCTGCTCTGTTATAATAACGATCAAGACTTAAATTTGAAATCTTATTATTATATGTTTTGCTATAGTTTATACTAATCAGATTGCAATTAGCGTATTTGAATGCTTTCAAATTTTGATCCCTCTTTCTTTTTTAATACAGGATTCTTTCTTGACATTGATCTCTATAGGGAAGCCGGGAACTTCTGTGATGGTTGTTAAATGGAAGGAACGTTTTGATTCTTCCTCTTAATTATGTTATTTGGCAGCTTCAACTTTAAAGTTATTGTGCTATTTGCCGTCCAAGCAAGAAAGGAGGTCAGTTCTTCAGTCACAACATTTTTTATTGATAAGATTTACATTTTATTAAATTAGATTATGAGGTAGAATCCCTATTTTTTGTTGAGGTGCCTTCTAATTCTGTCAGGTCGGTGCAAAAGTTAGGAATTATGAATTTACTTTTTGAGGTCTCATGATTTCATGCCGTTTAAGCTCAAAACCAAAAACCTGTTAATAGCATTGGGGAAAGTATATAACTTAGCCGCTAGTAGTAAAAGATAAAATTTGGAAATCTACAAGCCTGGATCATATAGAAATATTGCTGGTGAAAAGCAATTGCAACATTGAGGACCCTCCTATTTATTTGCAATTATAAAGCTACTGAACCAATAAGATTTAGTTTAGTGGTTAGTTCCTCTCCCCTTTAATGGAAGGGTGAGGGTTTCAAAAGCGACGAGTCACGTAGGGCAAAGCAAATATATATATATGTAACCATCAATAAACATCCAAAAATACTACATGCTACATAATTTATGCTGTTTTTTCCATTGTGGATTTTGTTTTTAACCTCTTTTAACTTTGTGGGTCAAGCATGTTTTTCTTTTTGAAGATTCTACCGCTATATCTTGGAAGAGCATAATTTTAATTATTTTATGATAATCAAGAATTATATGTGTGATAATCATGTATATTTTGCAGTATTTCAATTAGATTAGTATATAAAATTAGTGAATTACTATGAAATGTTGCGGTGATGTTTATTTAACAGTACGAACTTATCTATATGCATGTACAAGTTTGAATAAATGGGATGTATACATACGGTATATATGTGTTTGTATATAAGGTGACTGATGAAGTGATGGCTCCAAGGACAATGACTGCTTGAAGCTTTCGTTAGCATTTCAAACATCATTTGCTAAGCATTTGATGTCACATTTTGGAGGATTATCATTTTTTTGATGATATTTTTTGGAAGATTATCATTATCCCTTGTGGGCTTATATCCTTTTTAAACTAATATTTTTTGCATTTATAACCTCATGAATGCACATCTGAAATCCCATCTCTTATTTTTTTTTTCAAAAAAAAATTAAAATAAAATATCCTGCTTACATATATATATATATATATATATATATATTCTTTTTTGTTTATATCATGTGGGTCAAACTAGAAAAATATAAATAATTAGGGAGGAGCCGAAATGAGCCAAAAAGAAGTTTTGGGCCACAAAATTTTGCACCTGGGTATTTGGGTCCATCCCTTGTATATCAGGCAATTTATTTCTCTTTTCTCTCTTGAGAGAGACAATTCCCTAGCAAATTATATTCCACTCTTGTGTCCCCTTCAATCTTCTTCCAGTTTCGGATAACTCACAATTTTTTTTTTATTATTTCAAAAAATAATTTAACTGAAATTCCAATCAAAATGAATATAATAATTTCTGATAGAATCATTTAGTTTCTAGTCTAATTTATATTTTAAAAAAAAAAAAAAAAAATTGGAATCTAATTCTTTAAATTGTTTTCAAAAGCTCCAAGCAAGGCACGTGCCTTGGGTTGACACGAGTGAGCCATAGAATGTCTTTGAAACCGAAGGACAAAAAGGGAACGTGCATTTATCTCTAGGGTTGCAACTTGTGGCCATTTAGCTTTTGGTTGTTTCTCTCACGTGTTCCTCCTCTGCCTGCACGTGCCACGTGAACAATCTTCTCCTTTCTTTATTTTTTGAAAAATTAAAAATAAAAAATTAAAATTTTAACTTTTGTAAATATTTTAATTAAAAAATTTAGCTGTTAAAAATATTATTTGTAAAGATCCGGAACTTAAATGGAATAAAGTCATAAATTAAATGCGGAAGCGAAATAATAAA